TGACAGATGTAAAATACGTTTTGGTTCGTGTTTTTACTTGGTGGCTCCCAGGGTCATTGTGAGCGTCCCCTCAGGTGGGTGTTCCCGCTGGTTTCTGCTCCATGTGTTCTCACTGTGCGCCAGGGAGCTGGTCCAGCTGGGGGGAAAAAAAGGTGTTTTTTTGGGAGAAAAAGTGGAGGCACAGTTTTCAGTCCTTTATTAAAATGGAGGAGTATTTCAGAATCACAGAATCATCAAGGTTGGAAAACTCTTCCAAGATCAAGTCCAACCTGTGACTGATCCCCACCTTGTCAACCAGACCAGAGCACTTAAGTGCCACATCCACTCGTTCCTTGAACACCTCCAGGGATGGTGAATCCATCACCTCCCTGGGCAGCCCCTTCCAATGCCTGACAGCACTTTCCATGAAGAAAATCTCAGGTTGGCACAGGCCTTGGAGGCCACTCGCCAGAGCCAGGCTCTGCTCAGGGCCGTGGGGAGAAGCGGTTTCCCAGCACGGCTCAGACAGGAGCATTGGCATCTCCCCGGGGCAGGGAGAAGCCAGGGGAGGGTTGGCTTAGCACAGCTGCCAAATGTGTCACCTAAGAAGTGCTCAGCACACCTCGTGCTGGGTGCAGGGAGCTGGGGCAGACACGCTCCTCAGGGCTGGCACTGCTCCAGGAAATCAGCTGGAAGTGCCTATGGGAGAAAACAGTTATTTGCTCATCAAGGAGAGGGCTGATGGGTGTGGGTTGGCTTGTCTAGTAGCTTATCATTATTCCTGCTGATTAATAAGCTGATACTAAGTTATAGGAATCTGCAACAGCATTGGGCAAAAGTCAGGCTTTCTCAGTGGGGTGCATTTAAAGTGAAGCATAAGTCAATAAAAGTGGTTCTCTTCAGTTGACAGCAACTTTAATTTGCTTCCAAAAGGCCAGGGATATGGAAGGAGAAGAGTCAGGAGTGTTGTGATGGGAATGAGTGCAACCCTTTTTGTGGGCAGGCTGGTGCCTTGCTGGAATACTGTCAAGTTTAGTAGCAATACACATTTCTAGATATTTATTTATTTTAACATTTGGCTTGCAAAGGTTATGATTTCATAGTTCTGGAAAAAATCAGTCCTGTCACCTTGTAAAAAAAAATATTGATTTTCTTTCTGTCATTAGCCTAAATATCTGCCTTTTTAATAATCTTGGAGAAACCATAGTAACAGAACTGAGATCTGTTGAGGGTTGTGTTCACTCTAGAATTCCTCTGTGGGATTTTTGTGCAGTTCTGTCCAGTGTGCCAGAACGTAAAGTAAGAACTGGAACACAGTAAACATTGATGATAAATGGCTAACTTAACACATTACTGTGATATATTGCTAAGGCCAAGCTTGTAGAAATGCTGATTTAAAGTAAAAATATTTACATGCAGACTAAGGACTTGGGGAAGGGGAATTTAAAGATCCAAAACTGTGTCAGCAGCCCATATGCTGAGTTTAGGAAATTTGGAAGAATTAACCAGTATATTTATTGGAAATGCTTTCTTCAAAGTTTACATGGAAATATTTCCAAACAGTTTGAACTTTCATGCTGCTGGGCTGTGTGTATTTGCATGGGATATGTCTCACTCAGGGGGAAGTGGCAGCCAGAAGTGTTGTCCTGCTCAGTGCCAGGCTTCTGATGCTGGTTTTTGGAAAATAAATATTTCTGGGTGTTCTGTCAGGCAGCTTTCTGTTGTTTTAGCAATCACAGCCAAATTGTTTTTAATAACTGTATGGATGGCTGCAAAGACTGTTGTATTGCCACATATATCAGAATCTTGCTTTAAAAGCCGAAATCCATCAGTGAATCAAGGAAAGAATGACCCCACAGCCTCAGCTGAACAGACTGAAGTCAAACACTGCTTTAACCAGGTTTTCCAGATTCTGAAGCCTCAGGAGTGACCCAAAGGGGAATTCCTGGGAGCCGAGACTGGACCTGGAGCTGCACAGGGCAGGTGGGACACAGGAGGCCAGGGCAGCACAGCACTGCTGGCCCTGCAAGGCCTCATGAGTCATTCTTCCTGTCACATGAACCCTCCCTGCTCTGCTAAGAGGCACTTAGATGAATTTTAGATGCCTGGAATCATTAAAACGGCTGGAAGGCATTTGTGTACCTTGTCCATTAGAAGAAAAATCTGTTTTTTATAACTGTAACCTCCTACAGCCTCGAGCTCAACTTTTAGAAAGTAGCTGCATTTTTTGTGTCATTACCTGGATAGTGATGTTTGAAGCCAGCAGTGAATTCAGCTGCTTTCTCCCACATGACATTGGTGGAAGAACATGTATTTTTACTATTGAAAGAAGAACCAGTGGTAGGAGTTAATATTCCACTCAGTTATCTGTGTCCTCTTTTGTTTCATCTCTTCCAGTGTTGTCACATGTAGTGCTTTCCTTCCCCCTCCTTGGTGACTGCGCTCTCAGGTTGTACATGTCTTCTTTCTTACAGACATGAGGGGTTTAATTTCTGCCACCCCCTCGCCTGGAGAGTAACACAGGGTATGTGGTAACACAGGGCATGTGGTCTCCAGAGTGTCCCAGGTGTGCCAGAGCCTTTCCTCCTCTGTTAACAGACTGGGTCTTGCATAGGCAGAAGGAAAAAAGGCAAGAAGTGTGGGATTTTCATGGATAGACTGACAATAAGCAGAGTGGAACATTTTCTGTAAATTCATAGAGTGCAAAGCTGTAAGAGTCACAGAATGGTTGGAGTAGGAAGGGACCTTAAAGATCATCTTGTTCCACCCTGTGCCATGGGCAAGGACACCTTCCACTATCCCAGGTTGCTCTAAACCCCATCCATCCTGGCCTTGAACACTTCCAGGGATGTTGCACTTGCAGCTTCTCTGGGGAGAGACTGAACCAAGTAGTTTGTGTGTTTCTCTGTCCCTTTGGTTGCCCCTTGTGCTCTGTGCAGGCTGGTTTTGGATTTCTGCAGTAGTGCTGTCTCTTTTTTTTTTAATTTTTAAAGCATATTTTAATAGACAATTACTTCACAAGTTAGTTTGCATTTTCTCCTAATGGCTGAGTGCCATGGGTTTATAAAATACGGCATTTTTGTTTCCTGGAAAGGGCTCACGCTGAGTGAGCTGGTTTGAGAAGATGAAGATGCATTGCTGTGGTGGGAGTTGCTGCAGCTACTCCTGTCATTGCTTCGTGCCCTGAGGCTCATTAAAGCTGCAGGTGAGGCAGGTCCTGCCACCTCCACACCCATGTCCTCATTGCCAGGGCACTGGGAGGGATTATTTGCTGTGGTTCACATCTGGCCAGGGACCAGTGTTTCAGATGTCTCCCACTGGCAGCCACAGCTGCTCCTGGCGTAACACGGATTAAATTTTCATCCGGATCACTGAATTTCTCCTTCTTCAAGGAAGTGGCTCAGCTTTGTGTCATGTGAGGAGTTCTTATCCAGAAAGCTTGGAGCTGATCAGTACCCTTATTTTTTCCTACCTCTTCTGTTTGGAAAACGTGAATGGGGAGAGGCTGGCAGCTTGTTGTCACACGAGCAGGGTGAGCTCCAGCTGATGGTGAATCAGAGTGCAGGGCTGTGATGCTCTGTTGATTTGATACGGCTGGACAACACTCCTGATTTTTTTCCAGTACTTCCCAGTGTTACTTCCTCCCCTTTTCCCCTCTCAGGCGACCTCTTGGACCTGCCAGGAGAATCACTCATGTTGTCACCAGTCAAGACTTTCACAGAGGACGTGGATATGGTCTGATCTGGAACAGGCTATAGATTATAGACTTTCACTGGCAGAGGTTGCCCAGAGAAGTGTGCCTGCCCTATCCCTGGAAGTGTTCAAGGCCAGGCTGGACAGGGCTTGGAACAACCTGGCCAAGTGGAAGGTGTCCCTGCCCCCATGGCAGGGGATTGAAATGAGATGAACTTTAATGTCCCTTCCAACCCAAACAATCCTGGGATTCTGTAACCTTTGATCTTAGGCAGCAAAAGGAATAGAAACCCAAAACACACTTGTATATCCAAAGTCTGCCTTTAGAAGTGTGAGCTGCTTAGGGTTTTTTGCCCTGATAAGATGTACAAGTGAAATAAGAACACAGCCCCACTCCCTCAACCCCTGAGTTAGGTCTGGAAGGACTTGAATGGCAACATGTCTTTCCAAAGGAAAGAAGGCAAAATGTCCTGGATGGTTTCAGGAGCATTGGCTGGATGTGCAGGAGGGAAAGCTCAGGAAGATGTTGTTCAGTGGTGATTGCAAACAAGGGCAGTACCTCCTGCTCAGGGCAGTGGTTCAGTCCCAAGATGCTTTTTTTGAGGTGAGTTGTTGTTCTGCAGACAACCTCAGCAACTTTGCTGCTGAGATGATGGGAAATGGAGGGAAGTTAAAAACGAGATGGCAGCTGTAGCCTCGTTTCTGGTGTGTTCTGCTTTGAATTGTTGGCCTGGTACTGCTGCTTCCCTGATCAAAGCCGGCCTGGCACACCTGCCTCGTGCGAGTGACACTGTACCCGTGATAGCTCCGTGGTTATTTATACAGAGCCTGTGGGAAGCACAGTGCACAAAATAAACCATCTTCTTTTCAGTCATGCAGTGTGAAAGGTTGAAGGGAAATGGCAAGATTCATACTTGCATGCATCATTATGTAATGTATCCATGGAAAAACACTTCCTTAGCAAAGCCACAGGCAGCAATGGAGTCTTTTGTTGGGCATCTCACAGTATTTCTTTGACTAAAACACATGCAACTGCAGCTCCTAAGCAGTGGGAGCTAAGGAAGTGCCAGGGAAATGGAAAGGTACTGGAAAGCTGTGTGCTGTGCTTCATTGGAGTCCAGGTGTGTGATGAGAGGATTTAAAAACACATTAAAACCTAGATGGCATATTGATCATTCCAAGTGGGAGTGCTTCGGAGGGAGGCCGAGCAGCTGCTCAGTGTCCCGTGGTGCTGCAGAACAGTCTCCTTCCAGAAGAGTCTGTTGTGTGCAATTAAAGCTGCAGGGGTGATGTGACAGCACTCAAGAACCCCCCCTTAACCTCCTGTGTGTGGGTCTGTTCAGCTGCAGAATGAAGAGGAGCCAGGTGAGACTGCACCGGTGGTGAGCGATGCCCCTCCACCCTACAGCAGCATTTCTGCAGAGAACACAGGTAATTTACCTGCCAGGAAAGGACTGGGCTTGCTCTGCTGTTGTTCATTGCTCTCCTCGTCGATGGCTGGCGCTTCCCAAGCTGTAGGGATCAGAATTGATCCAGAGAGCCTTGTTGGTACTTGTGGTTTGGGAGATGCATTTTGACTGTGTTCATCTGATGTCATCCCATCAAGTGGTGTTCAAGTTACAGTTCACAGTGTTCTCAGTAAATTGAAGACAGTTAAAAATCAAAGTGCTATGAGGATTTGTGGTTCTCCTCTCATTATTTGACATTTGGATGATGCTGTGTCCCTTCCCAAAAGGACTTGTTACTTAAAAGCATTTAAAGAATTCACTCTTCCTGCACTTTCCACTAAGGACTTGGTCATAAGAACTGTACTTCTGATTCATCCTTCTGTCGTGTCACTAATAACTTTAATAACTACTTGGATCTGGAAATACAACTATTTCTGAGTATCCAAATCAGGAGAGACACAGCGAGTGGTGTTGTTTTAAACATAAGTACAGCCAGACATGTTCAGGTTCTGTGGGTTGCTTGACATCAGATAAGGCGCTCCCTTCTTTTTCACTTAATGTTTTAGGATGGCAAGAGGCTGGAAGGGTTGGGGAGGGGATGGGAGAGGCATTGAGTTGTTTGAAGTCGCCTGGAACACTTCTCATTCCCAACACAGTGTTGTTAAGGAACTGACAAGTTGCCTTCTCTGTAACTGTTTTTTGTGCAGCTTATTTTGACTACAAGGATGAGTCAGGATTCCCGAAGCCGCCATCGTACAACGTGGCCACCACACTGCCCACTTACGACGAGGCAGAGAGAACCAAGGCTGAGGCCACCATTCCCTTGGTTCCTGGGAGGGTGAGTGCACCTGCCTGCCTGGGTGTCCCAGCTTTTCTAGGGTAGAATTTCTTGTTTAACTCCTGCCCATCACATGCCATGACTTTTTTCTTTTATGTTGGTTTTTTTTTTCTGTGTTTTTTAAGCTTTCTGGGGCAGTGATATTACACACTCCTGAGAGCTCTGTGGCTATTTTTTTTTCTTTTTAATTTTCCTCTGAGCACTGTGATGATGTCAGACATCTCAGTAATACCAACATGTGCTATCCAGATTAGCTTGGCAAGCTGACAGAGGGACTGTGCTGTAGTCCTGTGCTCTGTCACTGGTTTTTGGGGTTTGGTTTTCTGTTTTTAAAAAGATTTAGGATTAATTCTTCAGCTGTCTGGCATATCTACCCTTGATACTCCTGCTGTTTACTTAGTTGACTTTTCTGGAGGTCAGTGTAGCTGATACAAGGATGATAAAACCATTCTGTCAGAATTATTTCTTTTTGCTTTTTCAACATTATCTCTTGTTCAGCCCTTTTGTCCATTCCTGCTAGCATTAGATGTCCACTGCTCATTCTTCACAGAAGCCAAATTCCTTGCTGAGATGATAATTTTTTGATGAGTAGAGGAATTCTTTACAGTGAGAAGGACATGCTGGATCTTGACTATGTTAAAAATAAATTTCATATTATGTAGATAACATTTCGTGCCCTGCATCATCTGAGGATGAGAAGCAGGAATTTTTTCCTGCTTGCATTTGTAGCCTTTTAGATTTAGGATTCTAGCCCTTTCTTGAAGAACCACATGCAGAACTGGGATTGCTATATGGACTGGACTGACTTAAATCCCCCCATGTGGTGTTTCCCTCTGATTTGCAGGATGATGACTTTGTGACACGGGATGACTTTGATGACACTGACCAGCTGAGGATAGGAAATGATGGCATTTTCATGCTCACCTTCTTCAGTAAGTACATGATGGAATGAATTTCTTTTGAAGCAGTGGCACAAAATAGTTTGGGTCACACTTATGTTTATGTAGCACCAGGAAAAAACTGTATGCAAGGTGTTTATGATTTTTTTTCTCTTGGAATATAAAAGTGGCTTGACCTGCTGCTTTTCTCCTGCTTTTTCAGTGGCATTCCTCTTCAACTGGATTGGATTTTTCTTGTCTTTCTGTCTGACTACTTCAGCTGCAGGACGATATGGGGCCATTTCTGGGTTTGGTCTGTCTCTTATTAAGTGGATCCTTATTGTCAGGGTAAGTTGTGTGGTGCAAAACAACCTGCACAGACACTGATATTCTTTTCAACCAGCTTGTTTTTATCTCCCTTATGTTGAAGTTAGTGATAAATTTAGTTTTTAAAAATGAAATAATTTTTGAGCCACTTATTCACTAAGAACAGAGCTTTTTCATAATTCTGTCCTGTTTCTGTGCTGAAAGTATTATTGTAGTAAAAGAAAATACAGATTGCACGCTCAGGTATGTGTTGTGGATGCTCCATCCCTGGAAGTGTTTAAGGTCAGGCTGAAGAGGGCTTGGAGTGACCTGATCTAGTGGAAGGTGTCCCTGCCCGTGGCAGGGAGGTGGGAAAAGATGAGCTTTAAGGCTCCTACCAACCCAGACCATTCTGAGGTTCGTTCTAAATGTGGCTTTCTCTGGCAGAGCTGCTGTATTGGGTGTGGTTGTGTGTTGAGCAGCAGCAATGATCTGATCTGTGTAAGACCTTTACCCAGGTAAAGCCAGCTCTGCCATCAGCACAGGGATGTGCCTCTCCAGTCTCATTTCCTTAGGCTTTACTGTGGAAATAAATGAATTCTATAAAACGTGGGATAGCTGATGAGGAGAGTCGCAGTGGGAGAAGCCCTCTGGTGCCCTCTGGTGCGGAGTCCCTGCGGCACAAGAGGAGGGAACCAGGACGAAGCTGCCGTTCTGTTCAACTGTGTATTTTTGGAGGGATTGTGAGAAAATATTTCCATCAGGAAGTTACTTGGAGTCCGTGAAATGATGGCACACAGACATCCCAGGCTGAAAGGCTGAATTTCAGGCAAAGAATGTTGTTAACTGTGCATAAGTAGAAGTAGAGAGCATTAGTGTTAGGCTGTCACTTCATACCTCATGTTTTGGGGCTGGGAATTCTAATTTGTAAATACAGCATCTGTTAACTTTTTCTGTAGACAGTGAAGCTTTTTGGGGCTATCTTTTAACAGTGGTGTTAAGAACTGTTTGCTGGATTAAGAGATGTGACAGAAAGAGGTGACATTAACTGCGGATTTGATTTAAACTTTGATAACAAGTTTGCATTTTGTTAGGTTCTTAGACTTGAATAGAATAATAACAAAGAAATGATACTGTATTTTCCACTGGCACAGTGAAATTCAGTGCTCTAATAGTGTTGGTGCCTTTCATTCAATAGGCAGTAATTTTCCCAATAGAAAATCATGTCAGAGGGCTCCACAGATCTGGGATTTCATTTTCAATGGCTCTACCATCCAACCTTACAGTGTAATGAACATGGTGCACTGCTGCAAGCCTGGTCATCCCTTTCAGAAATTGCAACTGTGGTTTATGAGCATCAAGGACACAAGTTAAAATAGGAATATTTGCCCAGTAGTGCCCTTTTGCCCCACTGATTGCCAGAGTTTATGGCTGGGTATTGAATCTGTCCCGTTCCCCTTGTAGAGTTGATGTGATGTGTATAGGAAACCAATAAATAACAGTTTGTGGAGGTAACTTGTTCCCTGCAGTCTGTGCAGTTGGTGAAATGCAGCATTCCATGTGGTTTCCTGTGTGCAGTGTTGGTCTGGTTATTGCTGAAGTTAGTGGGAATAGATTTGGATTCAGAAATTTCCATGTGCTCTAACCTTTATCTTTTTTGTTTGGTTGGTTTTCAGTTCTCCACCTATTTTCCTGGTTACTTTGATGGTCAGTATTGGCTTTGGTGGGTCTTCCTTGTACTAGGTGAGTGTTTGCAGGGGAAGATGCTTAAAAACTCTGTAAGTGCAGTTAGGATTTTGTGAGCACAACTGTCCTGGCTATTAAATATGTGTGTGTGTAGATGTACAGCTGAATTGTCACCCTCATACTCATCTTACTAAATGCCTTCAGGTTTTAAAGTCAAGTAAGCACTGTCCTTCTGCTGCCATTTCTTGGTGGCAGCATCCTGATTACCATCCAGAAGAGGTAAAGAAAAGAACAGTGCTTGTAACTGATACTGTATCTGTTTTACATCTTAAATGGAAGTGTAGGTTGTTGTTTTCCTGGTTTTAATTTCTTTATCCTGCTTTGGGAGTGACTGGATCTCATTTGTAGTCAAAAATTTTGTGATTGCCCAAGGGAAGTTTGGTTTTGAAATTGCCTGAAATGGAAAGATTAGATGTCATTGCTACCAACAATAATTATTGTATGTAATCAGCTCTTGTGCATCCCAGGGATGAGGTCCCTCTGTACTAGTAATGGGGAGTTCAACTGTTCCCTCTCTCACTGAAGAAGCAACACTGTGTTAACTGGACAAATGTCTTTTCCCTCCAGGTTTTCTGCTGTTTCTCAGAGGATTTATTAATTATGCAAAGGTTAGGAAGATGCCAGACACTTTTTCCACTCTCCCCAGAACCAGAGTTCTCTTTATTTACTAAAGGTAAACTTTCTACTTTCCTGAATTTGTTCTGCTTTGTTTTTAACTCTATGTAGAAACATTTTTAGGCTAGACTTTTCTTTGCTTTAATATTTTTAGAACACAAGGCAGCAGGGAATAATTGTTTCCTGATATCCCATACCCAGCTCTTGTGTCTGTGACTTGATGGGGAGCAGAGGAATACTTGACATTTCTCCTTGAGTTTTTACTGTGAGGAATTGTATATTCATTTAATTCCATGACTAGATATTGCAAGAACAGTCTTGCCCCTTGGTATTGCACTGTGTTTGGCAAATGTGTCTTTCAGAATTAATCACATGCTTGAAACACGTGGTGTGTCCTAAACATGAGGAAAGGTCACAAAATGTTGTTAGAGGGAGGTGCCAGTGCCTTTGGCTTTTGGCACAGAAAGAGCAATTTGTCTGAATTCTGCCTACTGTTTGAAATTGCTGCCAAGTTCCTGAAGAAGTTACACTCTTGCACATCTTTGCTCTCCAAAAACCCCTCCCACCTGAACACACTGTCCTGCCTGAGCATCTTTCAGAAACCTGAGTGCCTGCAAGTCTTTTGCTTTAATGCTGAACTTCAGCCTTGCTGCCTTAATGGGGCTTTAAAGGAGGAGGCTTAAGTATCTGAACCCTTGTAGCATAATTTCCTGCTCACAGCAGATAATGGCCTGGCATTAACTGTCCTTCCCTGAGGGGAAGGAAATCCTGGAATAGGTTGCTTCCCAGCTGGGGAATGCAACACGATGCTCCCTTTAGAAATATGGTAATAACACTCTCATTTCCCCAAGACAGAAGAAATTGCAGCTGGGCCAGTGGTATAAAGAAACCAAACCAACCCCCGCTTCAAATTGGGGGCCATTAAATTGTTCAGATTTTAAAACTGAGCCTTGATTTTCCAAATGCACTTTCCTTTTATTAGGAACTGCAAATTGCCTAAGATTCTGCTTCATTTCTAGTCTGTAAGGAGAACCTGCAGCACAAAACAGCCTTTGTGCAGTGTTTTCCACTGGTGATAGTGTGTAAAAATAGTTCAGTCAATTTATTTACGGGTTTGAGTTCTGTTTAACAAAGTTCTGGTTTATGACCTCCTCCAGGATTTGTAATATCCTCTCTGATTCCTGCTGAGTCACCAGAGGGTTTATTTGCCCCAGTTGTATGGTCACGTAGTGTGAGCCTTTAAAATCAGCTTTATCATCTGTAGTTTGCCTCACTGAACATTTTTTTTAACTTTTGCTTCTTTACCAAAACTTCATTTTCCATTTATTGAGGGAACTGTATGATTTCTTGTTGCACAGACTTTTCCTGTGTTTGGAATTTGAAATTACAATTTTAGAGACCTTGCTTCACTCTTTGCTTGTGAGGATGGAGGTGTAAAGTGTTTAAATTCTTATTTGTGTCATTTCAGAGCTTTCAAAAAGCACTTTCTCTTTTTGCTATACTGAGATAAATGTCCAGAATAATTAATAAATATTACAACTTTGGCAATTCCGCTGAAAATAAATGTTTAATCCTAAATTCTGAGTGAGGAAACCGCAAAAGACTTGATTTTTAGTGTATTCTTGTTCTGAAGATGAGATTTCTTCTGAGAGGCATGGTGATAAGGGCACGGTGAATGAGCATTTTAATGTTAGAGCAGGAATCACTTTTAGAAAATTAGGAGGGGAGTAATTAGTGCAAACCATAAAATACAGCCTGGTGAAACGTATCCAATGGGAAGCTGGGGTTCACTATTCCACCTGTGTGTGCAATAATGGACGTGATCCTGGCATTATCCCATAAAATATGCACAGACTCCTGAGCACTTTGCTGGAGTCGTGCCATTGTGTGCTGAGATACTTCATCAGTCTTTAGACATCCTGTGCTCTGTGTGAACGACATCCTTCTGTTTTCCAAAATAACACTCTGACTACAGTTTCGGTGTTCAATATCCTTCTCCGACAGATGTTTTCTGGCAAATGTCTTCCTGCATTAGTGAATTCCCCCCCAAGAAGCAGCAGGACACCTGCAGGAAGTGAATCAAGGCTCTGGAGCAGAAGAAAAAATAATCACCTGCTTTAAAATAAATAAATAAAAGTACTGTTGGAAAAAGAAAAAAGGAGAAGCATTTCTTTCTATTTGTTTTTAGGTGTACAATTTTAATAATTAATGCAGAATTCTGTAATTGTTGAATCATTAGTGGCTAATGTTTGAAACAGCTATTGCAGTCGAGTCTGTGACGTGCTAATAAAGCCTTACAGCGATAGTTTGTTGTGATTTGGTAGCATGAGCTGTCCCTGGAGCCAGCAGGGGCCAGGCTTGCTTTATTTCCTCCTCCAGCCTGGGAGCTGCTTGGGCTCTGTGTGTGCTGTACAGCCCGTGTGTGCCGTGTGCCACATCCTGTACAGCCTGTGTAACACCATGTCCTGTACAGCCTGTGTGCACTGCATCCTGCACAGCCTGTGTAACATCACGTCCTGTACAGCCCATGTACACCGTGTCCTGTACAGGCTGTGTCACACCGTGTCCTTTACAGCCCATGTACAGTGTCCTGTGTAACACCGTGTCCTGTACAATCCAGTGGTGCCACAGCCTGTACAGCCCGTGTACACCATGTCCTGTACAACCCATGTGCTCTGTGCCCTGTACAGCCCACATGTGCCATGTGCTGTACAGCCTGTGTGCCCTGTATCCTCTACAGCCCATGTACACCATGTCCTGTACAACCCCTGTGCTCTGTGTCCTGTACAGCCAGTGTAACACCATGTCCTGTACAGGCCTGTACAGCCCATGTGTGCCATGTCCTGTACAACCCACGTAAGGCCATGTCCTGTACAGCCCACCTACACTGTGTCCTGTACATCCTCTTTACACAATGTCCTGTACAGCCCACATAACACCATGTGCTGTACAGCCCGTGTAACACCACACCCTGTCCAGCCTGTGTGCGCAGTGTCCTGTCCTGTACAGTCCGTGTGCCCTGCATACACCCTGTCCTGTCCAGGCCGTGTACACCATGTCTGTACAGCCCCCACACACCAGGTCCTGTCCAGCCCACATCCACCGTGTCCTGTCCTGTCCAGCCGCGCGTGCCGGCGGTGAAGGGATGATCTCAAAAGCTGAAGTGACAGCACCGGGGTGGCTGCACTCCTGCCATCCAGCAGCACCTGTGCTGCCTGTGGAGGAAAAGGCGTCGCTGTGGTCCAGGTTCCAAGGTGTCAGAGGAGGGAGGATTACTTAGAGGTGGCACAAGTATTAATTTTTAACAGTGTATATTCTCGGTGTTGTCCTAAACTTTCCTTTCGCACTACCTACTTTTTTGGGCTCTCTGGGGGTTTTCATGGAACACTTCGGTAGTGTAAAACTGAAAGATCACATTGCAACTTTGTATAAAAAATTATCTTGCAAAACAAAGGCCTTTTTTTTCCTTTGGCTTGGGACTTTTGAGACAATTCCTAACATACCTGTAATTCCTGCTTTTATAATTTGTGTTAGCAGAGACTGATGCGTCCGAAATGTAGATTTAATGTGCACTCCTGTGCTTTCTGCCAAGTGGTAATTCACTTTGGAATTTTACTATGTTCAACCTGTAAATACAGCAGAACGTTAATAAATGTCACTTCTGTAGCAATTTTTGCTGTAGGACAGTGTTTAATTGACTTTTGGTTCGTTATTGTACCGGGTTATCGATGACAAGTGCAGATTGTCTGGGGGAATTCCATCACTTTTCCACAGGAGGTGTAATACAGACCTCCACTTCAATGTGTCCCTTTTTTGTAACCAAGCAATGACAACCTCTCAGGAAATGGCGACTCAATTTTGGGGGGTTTCTTGGATTTTTTGGTAGTTTCATGACTTACCTGCCTTGAGAAAATCTGGTTTTGGTTCATGGCTGAACATCTCAAATGCACAGTCCCCACAAACAAGCAGTTGGGGCTGACAGACACAGATGGAGTTTCCACAGATTTCTCTTCAAACAGGAGTAAGTGAATACAGAATTAGGAATTTTATCCTGCAAGGCAAAATCTGCAGCATTGGGGAGCTCTGAATCACATTTGCCCAAACTTGGTCGATCAGCCTTGTGTTTGCTCTCCTGGCATCTAGGCCTTATTTGGGCTTGTATATTCAGAGAACTGGAATATTTGGCATTCCTGTTTCTCCTCCTTCGGTGGCCTGAAGCTGCAGACACCTACAGCTCCATGTTCCTCCGCAGACAGTGGTTCTGGGAGCACCTGGAGGGATGGGTGGGTGGCAGGGTCTGGAGAAGCCACGTTTGGTTTGGTGTGTGTTGACACCAACTCCAAACTCAAGTAGTTATTTTGGGTCTGTGACAGCTCAGCCACTTTACGTGACCTACGTGGCAGGTCTGTGGTCACCTGCAGTGACCATGCCTTTGGCCTTCTTGCTGGCACCTTGTCAGCCAGGTGGGGGGATGGAGGCTTTGAGGGCAGACACACCTGTGGAGTGTCTGTGCCATGGTGGGAAGAGAGCTCAGACAGCCACGAGGCTATTGACAAGGCCCTGGAGTGACAGGAAAAGGGGGAATTGCTTTAAACTGACAGAGGGCAGATGGGATACTGGGTAGAAATTCTTCCTTGTGAGGCTGGTGAGGCACTGGCACACATTGCCTAGAGAAGCTGTGGCTGCCACATCTCTGGAAGTGTTCAAGGCCACTTGGATGGGGCTTGGAACAACCTGGGATAGTGGAAGGTGTCCCTGCAGGGGTTTGAAACTGGATGAGCTTTAAGGTCATTTCCAAGCCAAATCAGTAAGAAGCACATCTTATTTCCAGTTCCCATGAAAGAAAAAAAGGAACCCAAGGGGAGAAGGCTCAGCTAAAGGGAGAACAGCATGTTCTGGAGGAAATCAAATGTGCCTGTGGAGAAGGTAGGAGCACCACAGAGGAAAGGAGTGGGATCTGCCCATTGTTGGTGCTCCTCTGCCTGCTCCAGTGGGAGCTCCAGTGGAAAGATCAGTGCTGATTGTCCAGGTCATCCATGTGAAAGAGAGGATTACGCTGAGAAATAAAACCAGTCCATGGGAGACTTCCCAGTTACTTAAAACAGATGTTTCCCCCTCTCCTCTTGCTCCAGCTAATACAGTTATATTTCCAAGAAGTTGATAAATATTGCTGGATTTAGGAATGATTTCTCTAAACCCTTAGGCTTTACTGCAGAAGTCGTTTCTTACAAGAGAAACACTCCAATGAATTAAACACTTTGTGCCTCGGCCACACAAAGCCAAAGACTGACTCATGTTCAGTGGCTTCATTAGTGGAAGTGATTCATGGGCTGGATTGCTGTGACCTCTCCTTGGGGCTGGTGCACTCTGCTCCTCTCAGATCCGTGTGATGGCCAAGGGGACAGCCGGAGATCCTGAAGCGGGGGCTGGTGGGAAACACCTGAGAGGGCCAGAAAACATAACTCGGTCAGAAGCTCAGCCCATTCAGCCCATGCCCAGGGGGGCTGTGGGAATTGGTGCCGTCTTTTTATGTTACCGAGTTAAGTTTTCATAGTACCTACTGTTGTTTTCATTGCCTCGTGTTTAAAAGATGGCATTGCTTTCATGGGAAGGAAAGAGAAACAAATCTGTTTGAAAATACATACAATATTCCAAAACCAGTAGCAGTTAGATTAAGGAACCTATTTAAAAACTCCTTGAACATGGAACATTTACAAGGGCTGTTTTAGTGGTGATACCTGTTATTAATCAAATAAAACACAACACAGTAGGCACTGGCAGGGTTGTTGTGCTCCCCCAAGGTCCTCTGAATGCCCAAATCCATTCATTGCTCCAACTGGTTGCTCAGTTGGGCTGTTACCCCATCCCATTTCAGCTCAGGATGGAGATGCTGTGCTGATCAGGATGAGGATTTCCATTCTACCTTTTTTTTCTGAAATTTCTGTGGAATAAACAAAAGCCCATCAGGGAAGGGAATTACCATAACACAAGGGCTTAGTCACCATATGTAATAAATCAATCACAGAATGTATCCTAGAAACTGATTTCGAATCATGGGACTTACATGGATACAAGCCCCATTTTGCTAAACTTAAAATATGTTAATAAAACGTCATAGCAATGGATATAACAATAAGGCAAAAGGCAGGGATCCCTGCCCAGGCTTTGGAGTTTAAGGAAGTGTCTGTGCCAGGAGTCAAAGTGCACCGTGTCCCAGGGAGTGAAACACAGTCCACGTCCCAGGGCCAAGTGCAGTGAAGTACAACAGTGCTGTGGACTTGCTTTTAAAAAAAATTGACTTAATAGAAGCTATGCCAAGTAGGAAATCGGTGTTTCCAAAATATCCATCACCCCTCAGTGAGCTCTAATGGGCCACTGAACTGTAACCTCAGGTGTTTTTCACTGGAGCCACCTGGGCACCAGGAGATGGTCCTTGGAGCATCCTTTGGGCACTGGTGGGTGGTGTGTGAGGTGGTGGGTGAGGGCAGTGTGACTCCTGCCTGTGGGCATCGTCCTGGAACAGTGTCACCACTGGGTCTGGAGGCAGCACTAGGGGCTTGGTGGGCCAAAATGCCCCACAACACAGTCACACAGCACATGGACAAAGTAGATGGCAGATTGGAGAACAATGGGAAGAAAAACCCATCTTTGACCAGATTTTGTGTTTGTTTTTGTTGTTGCTTTAACCGAAGTGGCCGGAGCGCGGTAATTAAAGGCTCAGTGGCTCTAATTGGAATAGGTTTAAACTCGAGGTCAAAATCCCTTCTGGCACTTCCTCTGCCTAATAACCATCAACAGAAATCAAACAAATCCAACCGGCTCCAGCCCCTAATCTGCGACCAGCAAAGGTCGTGGTGGTGATAAGGGAGCGCGGCAGCCACAGACAGCCCTGAGTGGGAACACGGTCCCATGGGCCCAACAGCCAGTGCTGAGGGACAACTGGGACACAATGGGCACATGTTGGTGCTGGGGCACGACTGATGGTGGGGCAGTTCCTGGCTGTGGGTGATGGGTTGTCACTGGTGCTGCCCAGCTGGGGATGGAGGGAGGATGGGACATCTTGCACATGAGCAAGTGATGCTGGTGCAGCCTGTGGGATGGGTGCTCAGCATCACAATTACACCAAAATACCCCCTTTCTTCGAGCAGATGAAGGCACTGAGGCTGTGATGGGGGTTGGAGAAGGAGCTTTTAACAACCCAGTGCTGATTCCTGGGCGCCCGGCGGGTGTTGTGCCCCCCCAGCCCACCCACCGCTGCTGCTTCCTGCCACCGCCGGAGGTCACTGCCCTCGCCAGGTCGCCACTTTAACTGCTTTGCTAATTATGCCCTAAGCTGGACCTTTAAAGTGATCTGGGAGGAGAAAAAAAAAAAAAAAAAAGAAAAAAGGAAAGCAAAGGGGCTGCAGATGTGCAACAGCCCCGGGATGCAGCGGGTGTGGGGCCGCCCCTCCCTGCCACAGGCTGCCTGTCTTTGTCGCAATACCTCCGGTAACTTTTGCCTAAAGATTGTACCATTTTAGTATTTTTGGGATCTTTGTTCCTACTCCTCTCTCTGCCATCCCACTCTCACACGTTGTACCGATTCAAGGGGTCTGGGTGGGTTACTGTGCTGTGCCCTGGGTTTCATTCGGAGGGTTTGTTTCCATGCCAAGACAGCCCCTGTGCTGTGGCCGGCTGGAAGTTGGGGCTGCCCCGAGGTTACCGCAGTGGTCATTTGCCAAACACTCCTGCGTGGGATGGACAAAGCAGATCCTGGGCTGGCAGTGAGGCAGCTGCTGCCCCAGCTGCTCCATCCGGGTTGTGACGTGTGGCTCCCCCTGTGCAGCATCATCCTGCCCCAAAACAGCTGATCCTGCTGTGGGTGTCAGGGGATGGAGGAGCTGAGGGTGCCCTCCCACTGCCTCTTTGAGGGAGGCTCCGGTGCCAAAAGGAGAACGGTGTGGTGCGGGGGCTGGTGGGCAGCTGCAGATGTGACTCCTGCCACTGGCTTTGACACTTCCAGTGGGAAAATGGAGCAGCTAAAAATTCATAGAATCCCAGAATGATTTGGGTTGGAAGGGAAGGGACGTTAAAGCTCATCTCGTTCCACCCCCTACCATGGGCAGGGACACCTTCCACTAGACCAGGTTGTTCCAAGCCGTGTCCAACCTCCCTTGAACACTTCCAGGGATGGGATGAAAATGGTTCGTGTAAGGACATGCCTGAGTTACTGCTTGATTTCTGCACCTCACACAGAGGTAAGTGAGAGCAACACAAAATCCTCTAGCTGACATGGAACATTGTGAGATTTGTCCCTTTGTGTGGGAGCTGGTTTGGGTGGTGTAGCTTTTGATGGGATTGGACTGGTCCCTCCTCAAACTGGCCCTTGGCTTCAGGGTCAGGCCTGGGGCTGGGCACAGGAGAGTAGCAAAGTCTGGAAGGGTAAATTCTCTTCCAGTTGTCAGAGGAGAGAGATAAGTTGGATCTTGCACTGATTAGGTAAAGTGACTTAGTGCAATATGTTGGAGCACTTTTATCAGAGAGTGGGAAGCACATTTCAGGGACTTGTATCCTCGCTGTTCCCCAGGACAAGGAGCTGAGGCACAAGCAGAAGTGCTGGCACAGTGAGGCAGTGACAGTCCCACCTTGTCCAGCCACTCTTTCCATGGCCCAGGACTTATAGGGCATTGG